CGACTCGTTTTCACGGAATCGCTTTTATGCCTAATATTAGACGTGATTTCTTCGAGTTTACGCTTTCGGTAATCCATTGAACGCCAGTAGAAGTGACGCCAACTCTCGGCCGACGTCTTGTTTGGCACGCAATCGATGTACTCGTGTTTGTCTTCATTGGGACCGCAACTGGTGGTGAAGTGGAACTCATTTCGGCACAACTCGTGCCATAACTGGTCGGTCTTTGAGGCCAACGACGAAAACAATGTCTCCAGTCTTTGCAATTCAATGGCCGAACACTTCTCCAGAAGCGGTCTTATGAGCTGATAATCGGTGTCTTCGGTGATCACCACTTTGTGCAACTGTTTCAGCAGTTTGTCGACACATAGCTCTCTCAATGGTCTGATTGTGGCCACACATCTCGATATACCTGTCAAACAATTAAATCAATCAATACTTCAATTAATAGTCAAATGAATGGCAAATCAATACCTGAAAAGACTTGCGTTTTGTTAGACTTTCTTTCGTGCAATGAATTCAGTGTTTGTCTCGTATTTGCCATCGATTTGCTGTCAAACGGATTAAACGCGTGTTTGTTGTCAACCAATTGACTCATTGTCTCACAGATTGAATGACACTAACGATGAGATCAAATGATGCGATGATTAGTGAAAGTGTGGACACAATTGTTGTGTCAATGGATTGCAAATTGTTTTGTAAATTCAAAAAACGTGTGCTTTTCGTGCAAACCATACAAACACTCCCTTTCTGTACATAAATTACACACAGAATTGCATTCAATACACAATTTGTATCCTTTTATCACAATTTGAATTTGTATTCAATTGTAATTATAATTGTTATAAATTATAACTTATAATCAATAATTTATTCAATTATAAACATGTAATAAACATAATGTGTTTACAGTTATATTCATTTACTAATTATTATCATAATAAAATAATACCTATACACCTTAATACATGTAAATGACCATGGTCTTATTCTGTTTATTCTAATCTTATTAGAATATTTATTTTAAATAATTAAAATATATTTATGTTAATTAAAATATAAGTTGATTTGATTGCTATTTTATAAACTCATTGATTGTTTACTTAATTATCGCTTATATTCTAAATGTTTGTTCAATTTGTAAGTTTAGGAATGGATAAGACATAAGACATGCGCTAATCATAAGAATTGTTATGAAGTTCAGCTGTTTTTGCCATTTAATCATTAATTTTATTTAATGTTATTATTGTTTAAAACATAACATTTTATTTCATATAAATTGCTTTTATTTCATCAATATTTACATTAATTGAAAAGTGATTTCCTTTTTTTGTAATTTAACATTAATTTTAAGATAATTTCCATTCAAATAATTGTCTCATTCGCTGTCATAATATTGTCGATATAAATGTGATATAAATTGTATGAAATTAATGTCAATATAATTATTAACATTATGTCAACATATAATGTTACATGTGTACCAAACCATAGGCCATATAAATGCATGTTTCACGTTATCATTGAATTTAAAGTGCAATAAATTGATATGAAATTCAATTATCACTTATTTTATATACTCTTTGTTATTATATAGTACTATAAATTCAGTTAATTTTGAGTTATTTTTATACAAGCGTTGAAATATTTTTATTATAAATATTTGATTGTAAAAATTATTGAACAAATATGTCAAACAATTTGTCCGATGATTATCGGGTGCTATCCATCCAAAGCCATGTCGTGTACGGATATGTGGGAAATAAAAGCGTTGTCTTCCCCTTACAAGTAATTCACAATCAATTAATAATTGACATAATTTTATATTCATTATTATTATATGTAACAAAAGGTATTGGGTTTTGATGTGGACGCTATAAATTCAGTGCAATTCTCGACTCATGTCGGTTATAAGCATTGGTCGGGACAGGTGTTGGACTCAAACGACTTGAATGTTTTATTTGATAATTTGGTCAAAAATGATTTACACAAACGATATACACATATAATGACCGGTTATGTGGGAAACGAGTCCTTTTTGGAGTCCATCTCTCAAGTGATCAAAACAATTAAAGACGAAAATCCCGGCGCTCTCTATCGTAAGCAGAATAGTCTTTATTATTTAATAATATGACATTTTTGTGTATTTATATTGTATTTATTATTATTAATTTGTTTATAGATTGTGATCCAGTAATGGGTGATAACGGAAAACTGGTATTTGTTTTTGAAAATAACACAATTATTTCGTTGTGTAAATGAATGTAAAAATTAAACTATTGGTTACATTGTATAGTATGTGCCGAAAGAATTGGTTCCCGTGTATCGCAACCAAATTATACCGATTGCAGACGTGATTACTCCCAATCAGTTTGAGTTAGAGTTAGTGTTCACTAAATCTATTCTAAATAAAATTTAGATTATAATAAAACAAATATTTTTAACAGACTATTGACTGACATTAAAATAAACTCAGAATCGGATGCCATTAAAGCGTTGGAAGCGCTCCACGAGATCGGTATTGAGACCGTTGTTATAACGAGCAGTAATTTAGCCGATAGTGACTCCCATTTGGTCACATATGCCAGCAGTCGAGCCAATGGTAGGACTCAACGAATCAAACTATTAGTTCCCAAATTGAAGGCCATATTCACGGGATCGGGAGATCTGTTTGCGGCACTATTTATGGCGTGGTTTACAAAGACTAACAAAGACTTAAAGACTACTTGCGAGAGGACTTTATCCACTTTATGGTCAGTTCTGAACCGAACCTACAATTATGCGATACAACAGACGGGAGGCGTAGAAAGTTATAGCAATATTGAATTGAGACTCATTCAAAGTCGGGCTGATCTCGAAAACCCAAACATTACAATCAAAGCCATTGATTTGAAGTAATAACTGGAAAACACTGTGGTTTTAGTAACTTCTTCTTTATTTCCATTTTTATGATCTTTTTCTAGAAATGAAATTTTGTATTTATATGAACCTAAAGTGCAGCGAATATAGCCTTATTAGTAATAAGTTATTACATTGTAACTGTTATTTATTTAATAAAAATAATGGTCCAGGTCAATAATGTTTAAATTTTTATATACATTAAATGTATAAATTTTATAGAGTTAATGTTATGATACAAACTGTTCGTAAATGTGATTTATATAACATTTATAGAATAACTTAAATTAAATTATTCTCAAAATGACTAAAAACTTGGATTTTTGTATTTATTCATAAAATATAACACAAATCTATTCAAAGAGTTATATAAAAGCACAGAATATTCTGATTGTATGTGAGATTGCATTGAATGACTTTAGCCAATAAATGAATGCAAACGTCATTTATTAATGTAATGATAAGTTTGTAAACAAGGACAACAAGTTTTAACCCAAGGTGGTCTGCCCATTGGAAGTGCCCAAGATCACTTTAAATACTGGCAAAACTAGTTTATTTTTTAGTCTCTGCGCACTATTTGTGTAGATTTACAAATCAATGTCAACTAATATATCACTTATAACTAGTGTTTTAAAAACAGGCAGAGATTCATAGAAATTAAAATTGATTGAACTGTTAGTACTCGTGAGCCCTCGAGTGGACATCAGTGCCAATGAGTGGACCGCCGAAGAGTCCGTTGGGTATCTTCTGTGACATCGAGAACTGTGCGGTGCCTAAGAATGCCAACGCTTCAGATGTGGCCAAACGGATCCGACAGCACATCCAAACGGCTCATCCGGAGTGCGGTTACGCCAAAGAGTTCTTCATCGCGGGTGACATCAGGCGAATGGATGCACACGTGTGCGAGTCGTTGGACAGGAATGGAGTGGTTGTCGTTCACGTGAACTCCACGGCGAAGAACGCGGCCGACGATAAGCTCAAAGAGTTGATCGATATGTTTGTCGACAAGTTTGGCTCCGATTCAGTACTGGTGGTCATCACCGGTGATATCAACTTTGCACAGCCTATACGCGGCGCCCGACGTAAAGAGATCGCTGTTGTCCTCATTCACGGCACCAGTCATTCACGGGATCTCAAGAATTTGGTCGACGAGTCGTATCTCTTCGAAGACGTGATCAAAGGCTGTGAGACTATCACTAAAGAGGAGAAGCAATTGAATCCCGGTTTGTGTTATAACTTATGAGCGGAACAGATGTTTGTTTATTGATTGCCATTTATTTAATTGATTCATAGCTTATCTCAAAGTATCAAATTTGCCGAAAGAGAGATCTAATGCATCCATTGTTAACCGATTGAGTCATTTGTCGGCCAATTGTGGCGGAAAAGTAGAGGGCGTTGTGTCCGGAGAAGCGGTCATTCGTTTCGGCTGTAAAGACGACGCCCAGAGAGCTCTGCAACGGATGGCAGGAAAGGACTGTTTGGGCCGTAAAATCGGTGTCAAACTCATGGATTCGGCGCCGAAGACACCGACGAAAGGCAGTCATCCAATCAATGATAAGCCAAATACAACGGATTCAAAGGATAGTTGCAAATCAGTGATCAAAGGATTGTTCACCAAAAAGGATGAAAATGTCACTCAATTGGTCCGAAAACTGGTCAAAGACTGGAATGACTCCCAAATAAACCCCAATATTATAACATTTGTAAACCGCGGCGGAAAAGATGACGGAAAAGTGACACTCTTTGTGACCACAACTACCGCTCATAACAATCACCTGTTGTTTACGGCCGCGAAGAAGCACTTGAAGGAAAAGGATGGCATTAAATGGTTTAAATTCATACAAAAACCTCAAACCAATCAAAATGAAGCCAAAGCTGAGGCCAAAAGTCAACCAAATTCACCACAATTTGAGGAAAACTCGTGTAAATCAGTGCTTAAAGGCATGGAAACCAAGAAAGACGATAACGTATTGAGAATTGTACGCGAATTAGTGAAGAGTTGGTCCGACACTACTGTTAACACCACTCTTATAGCGGATGTCAAACGAGACAAGAAGTTTACGCAAAGAGACGGAAAGGCGTTATTGTTTGTAATGGCAGTGAATCCGGAGTCGAGTATAGCTCTGGTGAACGCAGGGAACAGACATTTGAAAGATGGCCTCCAATGGAGTCATTATAAACCGAAAGCACGAAAAGACTCAGAAGTGGACACTGAGTCGAATGCAAGCGATTTGGATCGCAATCTCTTAACCAAGAGCTCCAACGATGACAAGCATTCATTGGCAACGCCTGTCAGTAATGCCTCGAACGAAAGCGATAACGATATGGATCGATATCTGGCAGAAAAAGCCTCATATGAATCATATTCAAATCAATACCCGTTTTGTATATCGGCAACCAGAAAGTGGTCAGGGCAGAATTGGTGGTTTTTAACCGAAAACCCTAAAAGATCGGCATTCAAAACGCCTTTCTATTTGACGAATACGCCATTCAATACTCCCGAACCGATGTATTACTTGACAACTACTCCATATTATTCTACGCAAACCCCGTATTATTTATCGCTGTATGAGTCTAACCAAACGAGGTACTATTCATGGGATGGTTTTGAAAGTGAGGAACCTGGATGTGTCTTATCATAGAAGTAGATATTAAACAGCCAATGGCCACATACACCCGAGAAGAGGCCATGTTTATAATCAATCTATTCGTTTCTATGCATTGAGAATTGGTGTTTCACATGAATAATGCCATTTACCACAAATTTAATAGTTAAAGCCCTGTATAAAGAATAGAAATTTCATCATAACTTGGGTGTTTGTGGCCATTGGCACGATCTGTTACAGGAGTACACATCTCCTGCCATTCTTTACGCATGCATACCGAACATATCGGGATAAGGGATGAGGGTATATTTCTATTTCTACTAACACGTAACACTATTTCTACGAATTTCCTCTAAAATATTTACAGTTTCACTGAAAGTGCCAATTGTTTTGAAATTAATTATTAAATTTTGGTTACAATAATGGTTTGCATTGCTTTGGCTGTTGTGTTCAAATAATCGTCTAACCAATGATTGCTCGAACCCGACGTCCTTTTAAAGCACATTCAAAGGCAAATCCATTTTATAATTCATACATTTTATTACAAATATTGATATATTTATTTCATATATCAATGTTTGTATTGTAATGAATGTATGTTTAATATATTGCAGAGCTTTACATATATTTTTATTGCCAATTATTATTCCATCAAATGTTTGGTATATAATTGAAATAAATATTAGTTTTTAGTCTAATATAATTAATAGAGGTAAGAAATAATTATTTATACATATACTCTATTTTAATGCCGTAAATATTGATAAATAATGCAATTTTGTGTCAAATAAGTTCTAATACTTTTTGATAGTTTTACATTTTGTAACTTTGATCTGATTTACAAAAATCTTAACATTGAAATTAACTGCAAAAGTATTCATTACTTTATTTTAAACATATTAAACACACTTATATACTGTATAATATATACAGTGCTATAGTTTACTAACTTAATTAATTGTTAACATTAAGATCATACTGTGTTAGGAATACAGTATTTGAATCTTTTGAACATTTGATTATAATTTATAATTAATTTTATTTTTACAGAATATGATTTACATTAAAAAATTTTTATAAATTATATTACATTCAAAGTATACAATTGTATGTTTGAAATGAATGTTGCAATAGTTTGTGTAAATTAAAAACTCATCACAGAATACAAACATCTAATTAAGTGATAAATGAAATAACGATTGAAATAAATGAGATATGAGTTAATTAAGTGCTTATATTTTTGTCCCACAACTTATCAGTTGTATAATTGTTTGTACGGAAATAAATTACTCGTCAGATATTTTTTAACAAAACCATAACAACAATACTTATAAACAATTAATATAATAACCATTAAAACAATGCCAATAATTACACCGAAAGTCATGTAAAAAATATTTTGATTGTAAATATTGGCACAAAAAAGTGGCGAAGAAGTAGTGGTTTGCAGTTGAGTCCAGAGATCTAGCATTTGTTGAGTTGTCTCACATTCAAATGTAACGGCTCTCCACTGAAGTTCACACACATTAAGACAACCTTTTTGTC